TATAAAGCAGATGAACTGCAATTCTGTTACCATTATCAATAGGACAAATGTTTTTCTTTAGTAAAATACTCTTATCTACAGGCTGATGTCTGTATTTCTCTTCTGGGAACTAATTTAAACACTTCATGAGAGATTGACATTTTCACTATGTTATACATCCTTAAAAGCTGCTTTGTTCATTGCAAACCATATTTAGTATGACCTCATAATAATGTAGCACACCTCAAGTGTCATGCCTGTCTTTACTATGCACTTTGGAGCTGTGTTCATCTATATCAGACAACTGCACTTCAAGGAAAGGGTTTTTTTTTCCTTGATAGGCTATTAGCAATAATTAGGAAGATTCACTTCAGTAAGATGTCAACACCAGATTGTTTAAAAAAGTTGAATGTCAGTGGCTTTTAAAGAGAGTTCTTTTCTCTGACACATAGGTATGGCATGTGAAACATGAAATGTTAATTTAACTTTTCTGCTTATTATTCATGCACAATATTATTTTGTCATTCAGATAGTACACTGACTGAGTGCAAAGGGTGTTAAAATAGTGCTGCTAGAATAAAAAGAGGATTAATCTACCATTGGCCAATTAGCCAAAGGGTACTTAATGGTCTCTAAAGGCTACTGAAGTCTAACAACTAGCTAAAGCACTGGCAAAAAGTCCTCTATATTACCTTCATTTTGTGACATAGTCATTTATTTGACATTTTGTGACATAGTCAGCTGCTGATAACTGTGTTTTGCTGAAAAAAAGTTACAACTAAGTGGTTTGGTAGATTTTACTAAAATTTCAGGAGAGTAGATGACAAACATGTTCCACATTTTAGAAGTTTGTCGTGCTTGGGGGTTGTCTTTGTTTCAGTTTAGGGTTAGGATATTAAATCACCAAAGACTTCTGTTTGATATTTTGTCTTCATGTCTAGAATACTAAGTAATCAACCACTTACAGCACTTGCATGAGAAGAACTTTGATTGAGGATTTGGACTTATTTGCCTTTTCTCCATATGATCACATTAAGTATGCAGCACAGTTAGCTTTTTAGTCTGGTATATATCTTTTCATATTTTCAGCTACATACCATCTTTATTAATTTTAGCTTTTTTTTTTCGTCAGGCAGACGAAAGTTTTGATTCAAGGGAACAAAAAAAGACCAAATTTAATGGGGTTGACATAATAAATTTGTCTTGGATATTGTAAATATGTTCATCGTTATGTTATAGTAACATTTAATAGAGTGGGTAAAGTCATAAATACCTAACTCTGTGCCTCCAAGTATGATTTGAAAAGTTCTTTCTTGTTTTATGTATACAACAAGTACTTCTTATTTTGTTGTTTTTCACGATCAAGCTAAAACTGTGAGAAAACAGACTTCTCTGTAAACCTTTCATAGAAAGTGTTAAATCTTAATATAGAACCTGATATAGGATCTATGCATATAGCAAATGTATTTTATTGCCTACTGTAACAAGAGGTCTTGGAGAAGAGGAGTGTGTTAACCTCAGTTTTCTTACAGTTCTTGCAATATTTTCTTGTGCCAGGATTTTAGAATGGGAAGCTTTGTAGCAAATAGGATTTTTACACATCTGAGTATATTAGCTATATTTGGATTACAAAATTGGTAGTAAAGCAAGTTTATGTCATTGCTTAAAAAGGGTTTCAAGAATACCTGATTTACATCCTGTTTTATAATTTTGCTTAGAAATGTTTTCTATATGATATATTTTGCAAATATAAATGCATGGGATTGTGTTACAACAGTGGCAGTGCAGTCAGCCACTACTAACAGAAATGTTATTTTCATACATGCCAGTTGCAGCAGGAGGGTGACTGCTGTAAACTGAGTTCAAAGGCCCTCACAGGGTGGTTGTGATGCCAAGGAGCAATAGGCCATTCCAGGAACTTCCTATGTTAATCCATTTGGCCTTCCACATAGCTGTCTTTCTGAGAGAGCATTTATGGTGAAAAGCCTTGCTGAGTCAGTGGAAGTGTTACACTGAGTACATAGAAACTGAGATTTCATCACTTATTCCTTTGTGAACAGCAGAACAGAGTGTCGTGGGTATACCAGGAGCAAGGAGATTAAGATAGATGGATGTTAAAATATTGAACCTATAAACATCTGTTAAGCCAAAATACTCTGGAGGAGGTGCAGCAGACAAAGGCCTCTACATTGTAGAGGAACAGCAGTAGCCTGCCTTTATCAACATCTGGTCTAGCTGGTGTTTAAGATTCTGCCTTTCATCCGGGTGACCTCTTCCCCTGGAGTAAATTCTTTTTACTCTGTCACTCAGGATTTGCATGCATGGTAGCACACACACAAAACTTCCACTGTGTCTAAAAAAGAAAAAATAACAAAAGGCTTGACCTAAAATGTAGCAAGTGGTGAGGAACAGCAGGGTAATGAACTTGCTTCTTAAGTAAGTAAATGCAAGGAATATCTTTTAGGCATAAATATTTTCCTAGGGCATGGGGGCTGTTTTTCATGTTGCACATAGATTGATATAGGATTTTCACATAGCCGTTCAATATATTGTGAATAGAAGAGTAATGGAATAGAATTAGCAGTGCTGTAGCATATTTACATTGTCAACAGATGTATTGAGACAACCTCTTTGATATCTCTGATTGCAATTGCATGTTTGCCTGCTTTTGCAAGCTGAGGGTGTTTGCCGTGTACATGTGTTACTTTCATTTCACCCCTGTCATTCTGATACTGTTTCTGAATTTATGTAGATTCTTATTTTAAATTCTTTTTTTCTACATCTGTAAATAAATTCTACAACCAGCTGTCCTCTTTAGCACTCGTCCCATGAAGGCCTTATCTTTTTTCAATATATTTGCTATAATTTTTGAGAATGTGGCCAGTGCAATCAGGACATTTTAGAACTGATGCATATTTGCAGCAGCAGTAGCCTAAGAAACTTCTGAGAGTCACAAGCTCTCTTGGGCAGATATGGGGGCATTTCTAGTTTTAAACAGAGATATTGATCTAGCTATGTTTTTTTCTTCTTGCTTTTCTTTTTATGAATAATTTATTATAGAGACACTGAATCATGAAATTCTGCATGTAGAAATATTGGTTATACTTGACAAATTAACATAATCCTTATATTTTTCTATACTATGTCTTTCTGTACTACTACCGGCTGTGCTTATTGAAGTAGCCTTCATTTTGTCTTTTAATCTGAGAATGTATTAATTATGGGAATAGTATATCATATTGAGGAATAGTCAATTCAGAAATACATTGACACTATCTATTTCTTTTTCAATAATGACAGCAGACACAGAAGGGAATGGCAAGATTAACCCCTTTACTAAGAACAATGTTTACCTCAGATACATATGTAAAATGCCCAGTGACTTTAATAAGTTTGCTTAATGAATGCGGAAGAAATACTGTTAAGAGTTTTAACTTTAAATACAGAATGCAGTTTCTCATACCCATGGTATTTTTTTAAGCTAATGCAAAATCTACGAGCATTCTCTTGTCATTCTTAATAGGAATAAATATGACTATAAGTAATTTTTCTTTTATTTGGATATATGTGATCTTCAGGTTATCAGGGAGTTATCAGGTTATCAGGTTATTCAGCGTTATCAGGGAGTGTTGCATATATAAATACATATACATTAATAATTTTTTTCTAATACCGTTAAACAGTATAAGATCTAATTTTTTAGTTAAATAGTAAGCTACTTGGAAAGAGAATACTATTTTTAACTTTCTTTCAACCTTTTCTTTTTTTTGTACCAGCATATAATCAAACACACGTTTAGTCATTTCAGGCTGTCATATCTTCTCTGATTTCTGATCAGAATTCTTCACAACAGAAGGGTTTTCATTTTGTACAATTGTTCCTTATGTTAAATTACTGTTTTATAGTCTTCCTTGGAATAATAAGATAGTACTGTAGTTACTTCTAAGGAGCAGAGAGTTCTTGAGCCACTGTTGGCTTCCCACTGAACAGTTTTGTGAAGGCTAACCACTAGCATGGAGATTATTTCAGTTCCCTTTTTGCAGAACAACATTTGACATTATTTAAATTAAACAATTACTTAAAACATTAGCTCTGTAAGGGGTTCCATGAAATATATTGGTACAAAGATTGAATAAATCTTGTTGGTTGTCAATCAAGTGCAACAAGACTGAGAGTTTGTTTTCATGATATTTATTTGAACTAAATCCCTAACAAGGCTTGTCTGCTAATTGGACTTAGCATTTATGTTGCTAAATGAGAAGCATTTTGGCTGCAGTATAGGGTGGTAAGACCTACCCAGTGGAATAAACAACTAACATCTGTTATCCTGTCCTGCTCCAGCTTGTCTTTTAGCACTTAAGTACTTCAGCCCTAGAGTCAAGGTTATGGAGTATGTGGTTCTCTGGCTGTGGTGCATGTATGTGAAAGGGATGAAATAACACACGAGTAAAGACCAGCCAACCAGAAGATATTTAGTGCAGCTGGTACACTTTGCTTTAACCTCTACAAGCCCTACAAATATCAAAACAAAAGCCAAGAGAAGGGTGTATGTTTTATAGCAGTTGTCAACACAGCAATTCAGGTGAGCTTACAGTGGTCACCATTAAAATGGATTTGACATTTAACCACTTTTAATATGCACTGATGTCTGAGACAACTTAGTATTTCTTCATGTTCTGTGTAGAAATAATTGCTGAATGCCAGAGAGCCTCTAGGTAAACAGGTTTCACCAGTAACCACTGTTACAGGTTTTTTTAATGATGATTTTTGCTTGTCATGGTAAAACCAGTAAATACATTCGGTCAAAATTGAATTATTTTGCCTTTTAAAAAACTTCTTTTTCCTGCTCAGTTTGATCTTTGCCTGTACTAGAGAATTCAACCAACAATTATGCAATATAATTACAGACAATATATACTGTTTCATTCCTCTTGAATTTTGGACTGGAGAAGTATCTCATATGATCAAGCAGAAATATTTTTAGGATGAAACTGTGATTGTTTTTTCTGTTTGTAAAACAGATGTTGACCTCCAACCTGGCCAAGTGGCAACAGGAGAAGGAAGACTTACAAGGAAAATTAAAGTTGAGAGAACACCTGTCTCAAACTGCTGGCAAGAGTAAAGCCACACCAGCTCCTTCAAAGAACATTGATTTAGAGATGAAACAGCTGCAGTACAAACTAAAGGTGACAGAACATATTATCTAGCACTGAGGATAATTTATATGAACAGTAGTTCATAACTGGGTCAAGCAGACATACTTATACTCACATGTGCCTATCATTTATATATCTTAGCCAGTGATTAGCAACTGAGGTATTAGACTGCCTTTGATGGTAAGCAGAAATGTACTCATAAGCAGGAGAACTAAAAGTTACAATTAAAATAATTTTTGCAGATCAAATAGGCAAGACAGGGCATCTTGCTGGGTTTTCACACAATAATTAAATACATCTGTTTGTAAGGTGCTGTGGAATTAGTTCAGTGAGTATTGTGTTGATTCCTTTCTTCCTTTAACAAAGAGAAAAGCAATAGCTATCTGTGAAGGGGGAGCAAAGAATTTGAGCTGATGGGGCAGCTTATGTTACAGTGTTATGCTACCTATATGTCACTGTTGGTTTTGTCTTCAAAGAAACAGTTATTGTTTTAAATTTGTATTTTTGTAGATTATCTGGTAGGAAAATACTAATTTATTCATTATATAATTTTTCAGTCTCCTGTGATTCTGTTACATGTGAATGGTGTAGATACTGGACTGTGTTTTTCTGAAAGCTTTCTCAGCAGGTGGCCTGGCTCAAACATATTAATTCTTTTCCTCTTCTCACTGGAGGAAATATATGTGCAACAGAACGTCCTAAAGTTGTTTTTTCCTATCATTTTCTGTTAAATAGTAGAGGAAAGAGAAAAGGTCAAAATAGTACAGTTTCTTGCTGCTAGAAGAAAGGGCAGGGTAGCAAGACGTCTGCCAAGGGATCAGGTAGAAGAAAAGGCCATGTTACATGGGCAACATCGCTGGCCCTAAATACTGGATTAGCTGTGCTAATGCACAAATGTTGGTAATGCTCAGACCTCTAAGCTCTTGATGGCAGTCATGGTATTACAGATCTTGGCTATGCCACACTGGATGCATAACGTCTGAATTCAAGGATTAGTAAAGGTAGGTCACATTGATAAAGACATGAGGCCAGCAGGGAGTAGCCATGCAAAGGCACATAAATTCACCTGCTCTAATTATGAGAAAGAGATCTTGAAACCATACACACTGACTTCTTGACTATTGTTTTTACATTTAGGATTGACTAATCTGCTTCTGTTGCTGGTGAGTGGTAATTTCTGTTAATTAGGGCTGTACCTTTCAGATAAGTATCTTCATTATCCAGAAACCTAATAGTCAATTGTTCTATGCAAGTAAGAAAAATAAAAAAAGGGGGATTTATTTTTTTTAACAGTTTGAGAGTAACACCCATGCTAGAAGCCTACTTTATTTGTCTGCTACATTTGAACAGCAAAATAAATAGCTGAAAAATACAAGGCTTTTTCGTTTCTGTAGGAAAGGAAACGTTTAGCAAGCATCAATAAATCTGATGTCAAAATACTAGCATGACTTTTAATTCCTTTTTCAAAATATATTACACCCATACATTCACTTAAGAGTTGGACATGGCGATCCCTGTGGGTCCTTTCCAACTCAGACTATTCTGTGATTCTATGATTTTTGATAAAACAATATGCCATATATGCAAAATGGTATTTAGGGTGAAAATAGTCTGTGACCCCCAAATGCTGAGTAATAGAGTAAATTCGCTGCTTTCTGAATCGGATGAGAGTTTTGACTGTAAGGGCCTCAAGAGCTGCTTAAATCAAGTATCTAAAATTCCTAACTTTATTTAAGGCTAATTTAAGCTCTACAAGTCATTTTTTAGAGAAGAATTTGGCAAAAGTTGTTTGTCTGGAATAAAACTATTGTTCCAGACTATCTATCTTACTTAAAAAGGAGATACAAAGTTATTCTCTGAAATGTCTGAATGTGTAAGCAGCAAAAGCTTTCCTTATAGCTCAAAATATCAAAGTACCTGGTTTTGTTGTTTAGGTTTTTTTCCTCAGAGCTATCTTTGCAGTGCTTATGTTGTATGTAATGGCTCCTGGTATCTTTGCCAATAGAAATAAATGTTTTAAGTGTGGGTGGTGAGTTTGAAAGCGAAATACCACAGTCATATGTCTCTGCCTTTGAGCATGTGCAGAGGCCCACCTAAGTGTTCAAGTTCGCATCTTGTGTGTAACTGTGTAACAGGGTGCTGTGCTCTACGGTAATGAAGCTCAACCTCCACAAACAGGTCTCAGGAAACTCAGGAATATTTTGCTGGCATGCATCATTTTAACAATTATCTGGTTATACCTCACATTATAATAATACTAAATAGACTAGACAAGTTATTAAGAACAATATTTTACATCTAACAATGCACACAAGAATATGTACTCCCCTTGAGAGGCACAGAGTTATGTACAATACTCCCATTAATGTTAATAGGCATTACCAGTCTGCACTGAGCAGAGAAATTCTCCTGAAGTATCTTTGTTTACAGCATCTGATCTGTTTGCTTGTTGTTTATACATAGTGAATAAAAAGCTGTTGTACAGCTTCTGAACCTGTATGCATAGATGCACACATATATGTTGTGCTTATACTTAACGTGTATGTATCTTTTGACAACACTTTTTGGAGTTCTGAAATCTCTCTATGCGATGTGTTTGATGTGCCATTTTCAGCAACGGCATTCAATGCAAATACTCAGATTGCTAAGATGGCTACTTAGTTAAATTTCATATTTTTATATCTGTACACTGATTCTTTTATTCTGTATTTAAATCTTGGGTAGATGACATGTGTGTTTGCATGGAGCAATTGAGGCACTTTTTTTCTTATTACTGTATGCAATGAGGAATGGCCAACAACTGTATAGTTCTCCTTCACTGGAATTACATATGCCTGAATATTAGGATCATACCTGCTTGTTACTGAAATGTAGAATTTGTGTTAGTACAGGCAAATGGAAATGTCTCTGTCTTGTGCTTTGAATTTCAAGTGACAAAAAAACAACCACTCTTGTAGGTTGTCTTGTATTTGTAAAAGCACAGGAAAGGAATTATTGGACATTCTTGCTATGTAGATGTAGGCCCCTTGTGCTGTAGAACTATACCATTCAAAGAGGTAGTTCAAATAAAGATCCAGTTTTCTTTTCTGTTACCTTTTCATCTATGTCATCCAAGAGAAAATACAGTCGTTATAGGTGCACTGGGCTTGCAGGTGCCGTGGGGAACATACATTAATCATACATGATTAGAACAATGGAAAAGTACTCATTTTTTATCATATTTTCCAAGGAATGTGCTTCTACTTAAGTGTTTCTAGAAAGTAAGAATGCTCCTTCTGCACCAGTTAATTTCTAAGAACTTTCATAAAATACATGAAAGTTTACTCGGCTCATTATTTCCAAATTTCTTGTTGACTGCGACCATATTCAGTCTACTTTATTTATATTTTAATATTTTTCAATACAGAATTCGAATAATGAAATCACTAAGCAATCGACCACCATTAAGTCCCTAAAAAACGAAGTTCAGGAAAAAGAAGAACGGATTCGGGAACTACAAGCAAAGTATGGTCACTTTTCTATCCATTGTGTTTGGTGCCACCCAGTGACAGCTGTAAAATTGCTACAATGTTTAGCATTCTTAGATTTCTAAGAGACTGTTGTATTCTTTTTATTGCAGTCTTGCAGACTAGTACAGGGGTTTTTTTAGAAACTGCAGCAGTACATGCTAGATCTGTAAACTGATAAGAGACTAACTAACTACAGTATCTGTATTGCGGTAAGAATAACTTAAATCAAAACTCAGACTCTAGAGTAGACTTTTTATCCTTGATGTAAGTCAAAATGAATTCCTCAGCACTGTTAAACACAGTCTTTCAAATTCAGTAATTCTTTGCCTAGGGGCTAAGAGACATGTCAAGGTTCAGATGCTTAAATAAGATTAAATAGCTACTCTTATCTTCATTAAAAAAGTTCAAAAAGACAGTTGTATTTGTTTCTATTTGAAATTATTAAGGTTTACTACTCATTTTTAAAATCACTAATTGTCAAGTATGCAACTGAGATTTTTATTCTACCTACCTTAACTGATATAAATCTGTTATTCAATGATATTACTATAAAAAGTATAAAAAAGCTATTTATGTATCTGTGAATTTTTTGTCTGTCCAGAATTTAACTCCTCTAACAATTCTAATTTTTTTAATTGTAGAAAGAATGCGGTTTACTTCTCTGAAATTAGTTCATGTGAAAAATAGATAGTGCTTAAAGTGGTTATATTGTGTACATTGTTTATTTTCTGTTTCAAAATGAAAATGAATTTTTCCACCATAAGATTTTAAATTCAAAATACTTATTGGATGTCATGGTTTCTTGAAAAGACAGATACTGTTTTTTCGTAAGCTGTAATATATAGTCACCAAAATAACATTATTAGTATTAGAGTGAAACAGATTGAAGAAAATTTTAGGTGCACTGTTTTCCTGGGTGTTTTTTTAATATGGTATTGACATTGTATTAACTATGTTGTATTCCTGAACATATTACCATCAATCCTTTTGCTTTCATTAGAAAAAAATCCAGATGTCTGAACATATTCAGGTATTGATTATATTTATATTTACAATATTAATTTGTATCATGATCATGGAAGTACTGTATAAGGCATTCTCATTGAACAGATTAGTTTGTGGTACGTGAGGCTTTCTTTTTTATTTATCAGAGAATTTTCTGACAAATGCTGATGTTATTTCTAGGTTTTGCATTTTATCTCATCTGACATATAGGGATAGAGATTTTTCATCTATTTCTGTATATTAGTTGGATGAAAGGAGAGTTCCCCATTTCACTTTCTTTTGAAAATAATTTTATACAAAATAGTGTCTGAATGATTGCTTGAGACATCAAAGGAATTTAATTATTAAGTTTTGCATGCTCAGCAGGTTTCTTTTGTCTTTTTTGATAATAGTTTAAGAATTACTGTGATTTCAGTTCAGCAAGCAAAAAGCAAATCACAAATATATTGCATATTTAGAAATAGGTCTGTTTAATAAGAGTTTGAAACTGGGTTTAGTAGTTGAGAATGGGGGAAATTGCAAGAATTGCATCAGCAATTGTTTGAAACAGTATTTTAAAGCTACAGGAATAATAGTTTGTCTATTGCATTAGTTGCATATTAAGAAAATTTTCTGAGTGTCATGAGTCTGACTTCTTCCCTTGTAGAATTTCTCGATTGGAGAGGGACTTTACTATGAAAAGACATTTGATAGAAGACCTAAAGTCTCATCTGAAAGCAAGTAAAGAAAATGAGAAAACCTCAAATGAAACATTGGAAAGTCTTGAGAGAAAGGTATTTCTTTCTTGCAATTCCTAGTTTTAGGAAAAACAGAAGCTAGTGGATTTATGCAAGTTATTTCAACACACTATACGTATTAAATCAATAAATTGCTTTAAGCAAACAAGATATAGTTCATTTAAGTGTGTAATTCCCTCCACTATGATTTGTATGAAATCAGTATATGGTGATAGCTTGAATGAATCCAGAATGATTTAATGTATCTTCATTAGGGTGTAATTAAATATTAAAGTATTCAGAACACACAGTTGCAAGAATATGCTGTAAGTAGTGGGATTTAGTTTTATGCACTGTAAGTTTATAAAATATAGGAGACCTGAAACAAGGGTGATTTTACATGACGTATGCTAATGAAGTTCATGCATCTCTCCTGGCTATAGTAGTTAAATGCTTTAATATGTTAATCTGTTTTCTACTGAAGTGTTATGAATGATTCACAGTTCTTAGCTTAATGTAATTGTATCTGTGTAGGTAATGCTTGACTTCTATAGTAAATTATTTTATCCTGCACAATTTTAGGATGATTTCATTGAAGATAGGAGAACTTGTATATGCTTTGGCATATTTCTATATTATCCAGCTGATATATTGGACTTCGGTCTTTAATGCCAGAAAAAGATTATGATGTTTGTTTGTCTGTGAGGTTATATCTCTTGCAATCCCAAAACAGAAATAAACAATTTACTAATTTGCTTGTGTTTGCCTAGAATGGGTGTGCTTGCTGAATATCACAAACATTATCTCTACTTGCAGTCATATAGCACTTACAGCTCTAAAGAGAGCTACTATCTTACCTTACATGCCAAAGATAAGGTGTTATTAGGAAAACCACAGCCAGAAAGTGAGAGCATAAGTAAGCAAGGAAGCTAAAGTATGACATGAGAGAAATACGTGGTTTTGGGTTTAGGTAAAAGATTTGGAATGGAATGATGCGCTTTAATGCTCTCCTTTGAGTATTTTAAGCACTGCATTTCCAGAGAGTCAAATCCCATGCATTATTTTGATTATTCCAGGTGGAAAATCAGCTTGATAAATTTTACGTTATCTTCAGCAAAAGATCAAAGAAATTCCCTGTTACTCGATATTGTCAGGAAAACTTTGTGATTAATACTATCAGGAGTGATGAATGATCTATTAATACTATCAGGAGCACTGGCCTTTTTCTTTTTACCCCAAATCAGTGTTTGCATTAGATAATAATTATCTAGGAAGCTCTACAGACTATTAACATGTAGACAGTTGTTTTCTTGGTTGAATTGTGTTTTTACCTCTAACAGAAGAAATGAGTAGCAGTTGTGGATGGCTCCCTTTTGCAAGTACTGTAACTCTAAAATATATATAAACAAACAGTTCTGCAGATATATATAGAATATATATAAACAAACAATAAGTTTTGACTTAATACAAGTCAAAACTAATGTTAAAAGGTTGTGTGCGAACTGGTCTCTACTGGATCAGCAGTAGAGATTTAATAAATACTGTAAAATTTCTGAAAAAAGTATTTCAATAAAATTATATAGCGAAAGTATGTTAATGTAATATAGGTAGGCTTAGTTTCGATTTTATTTTAATTTTTTAGTTATACATCTTGATTCAATGCTCTTGGCCTTTCATTATTTCAGGTAAAGGCACTGGCTGAAGACTGTTCAGGCAAAAAAACTTCCATTGACTCACTGAAACAAAGACTTAATGTAGCTACGAAAGAGAAGTCTCAGTATGAGCAGATGTATCACAAGGCTAAAGATGAGTTGGAGAAAAAGGTATAAATAGAGTTGTGATGGCTGCACTGTGGAACTTTTTCATACCTTTCTTTCAAATGAAAAGTTGCAACGTCATCAGCTTAGACTTTTTAAATACAGAAAGGGAGAAAAGAGCAGAATAATAGTAACCTTTTTCTCTCTTCTGATTCAGTCACATCTCTAAAATTTAGATACTGAAACATGGACATAATGACTGAAAATGAGATTACTTTTTGCCATTAAATTACATTTTATGTGTTGCAAGTGGAATATTCTGTGATGTTAATCATGATGTGGGAGGTTGGTTTGTTCATACATTTGTGATCTACCATAACTCCTTATCAGCTTTTATCATAGCATTGTTGTGTCTCTGCGGATGTATTTCAGGATCTCAAGCTTACCAAACTAGAGAGCAAAATCATTGAGACTGAATGTGCTATGACTGAACTTGAGACTGCTACATCTGATCAACTACACAGCTTGGCTAAACAGAGTGCAGAGGCTTTGGAAACAGTACAGAAGAAGTTGCTGCTCACAAGTGACAAAGTAGAAGAATTCAAGACATTTGTAAAGGTTTGAATTTTGATTTTCTTTGAGTGTTCACCTAAATTAAGGTAATTTTGATTGAAAGAAAAATGTAAAAGATTAAACAAGAGCTAATCTTTGGTGCATTCCGTGTTCGGGAACAATCGTTGTAGTTCCTGCAGTGGTCTGGTGTCAGGTCTGAACTGGTCTAAATACGGAGAAAGAATCAAAGTCTCTCTCCCAGATTTACAAAGACTTCAATAATTTTTATCTTTATATATATGGCTGCCATATACTTGTTCCCAAGAAAAAGTGCTTAGTTTTATATCAGACTACTCTGCAGCAGAAAAATTCCCGACACATTTAATATAATAATTCATATCTGTTGATCAGTCTGAAGTACATCATTTTCCATATGCACATACTTTTTATTTTAGAAATATTGAATAAGGAAGCCTCTATATTGCAAAATTGAAAGCAGTTTTAGTAACAGTATATAGAATATTATTTCCTTATTTCAGCTAAATACTTAACAAACTGCTATAGTGCATCATGCAACAATACTGTCTTGGTGGTGTCAGACAGATCACTTTGTCATAATAAATCAGTGAAAAGTTTCACTGAATACACTAATATGTGTTTTATAATTTAATATTTGAAATGTAAATATTATTTATTTTTCTGAAATATTCACCACATAATTAAGAAATATAAAGCCTATTCAGTATATATCTGTCTTGAATACATAGTATCTGAGGGAATGGCCTGAAGTTGTGTCAGGTGAGGTTTAGGTTAGATATAAGGAAAAAGGTTCTTCACCCAGAGGGTGGTTGGACACTGGAACAGGCTCCCCAGGGAAGTGGTCACCGCACCAAGCCTGACAGAGTTCAAGAAGTGTTTGGACAAAACTCTGAGGCACATGCTGTGATTCTTGGGACTGGCCCTGTGCAGGGCCAGGAGTTGGACTGGAAGATCATTGTTGATCAATGCCAACTCAGGATATTTTATGATTCTATGATTTTATTAATTTAGCATATATCTACTATATACCTACTTTCAAACAAGACTATAACTTATTAAACCATGAAATAGATCCACTCTTCTACTTTTCTTGGATCTCTGTAGAGGTGAGCATCTTTCAGATATGTTTGGGCAAGTGTGGTAGCATCCAAAGTAAAGAACAATGGTATTTTGATGCACTACATATAAAAAGAAGGCATATATAGTTATCTCTTCACGAATAACTTTCAACTGGTGATTGAAATTTAGTAACTTAAATACTTGTGCATTATATCTTCTTTCTGTTGTCATCTGATAAGAAGTCACTCTACATGGCAGTTCTCAGACCTTTTATGTTTGCCTGTTTTCTCAAGTTCGTAGAACATTAAAAAAAGGGGAAGTGAAAGGTATTCTGTTCTCAAAAGTAACTGTAATGAGCAAAATCACCCATTAGCAAGTATTATGATAACTTCATTCATTGTTGAATAAGATGACAGCTTCAGTGTTAGTTGCCATGAATATTCATTAGCACTTACACAATTGTACTGCATGTGAAAAGAATGTTAATATGTAATTTCTCTCTAAATAATAATAATAATAATAATAATAATAATAATAATAATAATAATAATAATAATAATAGTATTTAGCTAATAAAACTAAATACCTAGTTCCTTGCCCAGATAAAAAGAATATGCATGCATATTTCAAGTAAGATTTTTGCTGAGTACCGTTCCTCTGCAGAAAGATTTTTTTGAAAATTAAGATGCTGTCTATAAGTCAAATGTTGATGAATAAGGAGTTCCGAAGTAGACTAATTTGTTTAGTTAGGTGCTAAAATCAGATTCTAGTCATGGTGTACCACTGTAAAAAAATATTGTTGAAAATCCTTGGCGATTCAGTGGAATTGCACAGTATATCAAGTAAATCCTGTTAAAATACCTCTTGTGTATCTGATGTTATAACCTGCGTGGCAAGATCCAGGTATTGTGATAATACTTACTGTGATAAGTAGCAGTACTTCTTCTTGCACCAGCTCTTCCTTTGAAGTCTGGTCTGTATCATTTCTACTCTCTTCTTCCAGGTAGCTGTCAGTTTTCCCCTGACCTTGATTCTCCAGTTCCGGTAACTTGAGTAATATTTTCTGTATAGAGATAAGTTTAACCTTCATCTTACTTAAACAGGTTAACATATTTGTCTTCTATTCTGATCACTTCATAAGCCTTACTTGTTTTCAGAGTGCAGTTGTAATCTTCTCATTCATAAATTGAATGCAGTTGCTTTTTCTACTTATTCCATGTCTGTTGTGACATTACATAGTTCTTTTTTTAACATAAAATAATTAAATTATTTCAGTTACTAATTAATGGTTACAGCTATTAATAAGACAACAGAGGAACTTCAGAGAAGAGAGTGTGACTCTTTCTATTTATACCAGACAGTGTTACTGGCTTTTAGAGTTATTTATAACACAGAACCACAGGATCTTGAATCCATCTGGGTCAAGATACTAAGTAAAAAAACCTGGGGGAGTGGTTTCTGGTACAAGTACAGTGTACATAACTGAATCACATTATGATGAGTTACTAATTGAGCCCATATTTGCAATATACTGTAAAAAGTTGCATTGCTGTGGGCACTCCAATTTAGGACACTTATGCAATGAAATAAAATAGCTAAATTGTAGCATCTATTTAATAGTTTCCAAAAATCATGGAAGAATTAATTGCAAACAAAAGTTGCTGTATCCAGTACGTTGTAAGTAACTGTTGGACTTATTTTTGTGGGAGCATGGTATAGGGATCAGACGTTATGTCCTGAATTGCTTTCAGTGGGAACTAACAGGGCATCTAAAATAGGTCGATTCAGAGCAGTTCATTTCTCCAAAGCTGTATGAGGAAGATATAGGCTAGTAGGAAATATGAATAGAAATTTTGGAGTGTTACAGTTTATTAAGTAACCAAAAAACCACAGTTCCATAATTAGAGAGTAGCTCCTTATAAATATCTATTTCAGCTTAATAGGAAAGTTAACAAAATATTTAGAAATAAAAAGGCAATATAAAGGAATTGGAAATGAATTATAGATAATAACCTGAAAATATGAGCAATAATAGACTATAAAGGATGGAGAAGAGACTAAAGAAATCAAGAAGATATGTGTGGGTAGCAAGACAAGAACAATAATAAACGGGCAGTATTTAAAAATGTACTATTAATAAGGTAGCTATTACAGGGTGCATACAATCTATATTAGATTTTAAAAATCTGTAACTGTATCAAGATAGAGGTCTTGCATGAATATTTCTTTTCTGTGTCTGGAATGAAGTAGGCTAATGTTATATGAAGATATTACAATATCCCCAGTCTTTTATTAACCAAGAGAAGATTTTAAACATTTTGTTAAAAAAAATAGTATTCTTAAATTGAGAATTTTTATAGCTAACAAGTTTGCTGGTTAATTCTCTTGCTGGTCCTCCTTTTGAATAAATATTCAAAGTTAGGGTATATATGTTACAACACTGCCTTGAATCTAAAAGAAGGATACTATTGAGTCAATATTCAGAAAAGGCAGTATTTTAGGTTCATTAGCCTAACCTCATTTCTGGGTAAAATACTGAAAATCTGATATGAAATTCAATTATTAAAATATTAAAGCATAAGATTATAGTTATACTTCTTAGAACACTTTTATGGAAACTAAATTTCATTGAATAAATCTGATTTATTTTCTGGAAGGTGGTAAAAGGCAGTTGATAAAGGTTACTATTAATTTTAGTATACTGTTTTTTAAGATGTCTGACCTACTATTAAGATGTTCAGATAAAAAATGTATACTATGCAATAGCAATAATATGTTAAATGGACTGAAAATAGCCCATGCAGTTGATCTGAAAAGTATAGGTGTCTTTAGAGTTTTGTAAAGATCAGAGCTAATCTTGATTACTAAGTATTATCACAAAATTCAAATCCTGATAAAATTTGTCCATGGCATTTATGAAGACTGCAAAATAATAATGAAAGTAAGGCTGTAAGTATAATGTTAACTAGGCTCAATGAAACATTTTAATTACAGAAGAATGCAAGCTACCTGTACAAGAGACCAGGTGGTTCTGACAATACTTCAGATGCCTTTTTTAAGCTGCACATTTTTATCCCATCTACATTCCATCAGCACCATAAATTCTCTTTGAGCCATTCACTCAATTTCTACGGTCTATCATTGTTCAGGATTTTCTATAACATGTGTTGCACTATCAGACCACTATCAGGTGGATCTTGCCAGTTATGTACAGCACAGCAACTGGAGCAAAATGTTCTTTGTTGTGTTTGCAGTACCTCTGAGAACTCATGCAGAAAACAACCATTGGATAAAGTTAAAAAACTACTATTAGAATGCTTCACTGGATGTCTATTGAAAATTTGGTACAGCATGTTAGTTTGCTATGAAACTGTCCAAAATTCTGCATGAATTCTATTTTCCTGCATTACTGTAGTTTAGGTTTTTTTGCTTAGCTAGACTTTGACTGTATGTTGCTGTTAGAGACCTTGTAAGCTCAAGACTCAATAGTGTTGTCTGTCCCATTCAGCTTGTACATGAGCAAAACTTGTTTTGAAAGGTTAATCTGCAGTGATGACGCCACCTGAGAATGAGAATATCAGAGCTTTTCTGACCTTGAGGAAGATGTTTTGATTAGGCATCTATATTCAGCTCTGGCTGTAATAAATAGGTGATGGCAGCTGAATGCTTCGAAATTATCTAAGTGCATTTCTCACTTAGATAGTGCCTCTGTCATTTGGGACTTGTGTGCTTTCTACAGAGGATACTAACTGCAGCACAGTGCACATCTGGTATGTTCTGGCATTGTTCTTGATAGGTCTCCAGTACAACCATCTAATAGAAATTGACTGCCAAAATCAAGACCCATGGCAGTTTACTTGGCAAGCTTAATGGATCTACGTGGGGATCTAGCCCTCACCCTCTTAAGACATATGCCCTCATTTTGGCTACTGAGAGCAGGGCTTAAGCTAGGTGCATTTCCCCCTCTC